CAAAATGTAAATGTTTCATTTTACACAAAATAAAGAAAAAAAAAATTTTTTTTTTTTTTTTTTTGTGTGTAAAATGATCCCCGGGAGGTTTTCGTGACAGTAGAATCAGGTTTTTTTTTTTCCTTTCTCCACGTTATTTATGTACCTGATAGGTTAGTTATAAAGTGTCTCGCTCATACCCATATGAAAAAAATGAAATATGTTTTTTTTTTAGTTGCTGATGAAGTAATTGAGGTTAACCGTCATTTTTTTTTTTTTTTATGTTGTACTTGCAAACTTCCTTAGTTTCTCTTAGTTTTGTTTTTTTTTGCCATGCGAATACCTTCGACAAATAAATTAATAATAATGATAATGATATAAGTCGTCAAAAACAAACAAAGGTCGATTAATTGTTTTTTTTTTTTTTTTGTTTTAAAATGCGACGTCATAGTAATCAATATTCGATCGATCGATCGATCGATCTATATAATCGACCTTGTTTTTAATGAACATGTGTCGATTTGTTTGTTGTCGCGACGAGTTAATAATTACATTAAATTTATTTTTGTTTGTTGTTTGTTATTTGATGACGTTTATATTAAAGTAAATTGACAAGTCCTGTGTGAAATGATTCACACACACACACACACACACACGCATACACACACGTCACGTAAATAAATTGTGACGATTTAAGAAAGAAAAAAAAATGATAATGATGATGATGATGATGATGATGATGATAATTTGTATTGAGTTTTTTTTTTTTTGAAAATGAAAGTTTTGGTGTGACTGGTAGTCATCACCACCAATCATCATAAATTTGCGACCTAAATTTTACTCACCGCAAACGAATTTGTCGTATTTGGTTGTTTTGTTCATCGTCCTGGTTTTTCAAATTTCGCGAGTGTTTGATAAACGCGCACTCACGCACATGTGTGTAATGCATTTAAAAAAAAAAAATTTAATGCGTGTACGGTTATGAAAAACATGTCGCACGAATTAAACGGAAATAATGACGTGGAAAATTAGTTTTTATCAAATATCTTCTTCTTCTTCTTCTTTACACGTGTACTTAATATTTCTTTATTACATTAATATGCATTGAATATCTGTTTCTTTTAAAACCACTTTAAAAGATTAAAGAAGAAAAAGAAGAAGAAGAAGGATAATAATAATAATAATAATAATAAAAAGAAAGAAAAAAAAATTTTTTTTTTTTATTTCGTGAGTTTGAACTTTTCTTTTTTTTTTTTTAAATTGATCGAAACTCGAGTGACTCGTTTTGTAAGGTATCGATCAGAAAAAAAAAGAAATTTTATCGAAATCAACAATCAGGTGTTGTTTGTTTGTTTGTTTGTTTTTATTCGTTTACCTCGTGAAGGAAAAAAAAAATTGAAATAAATTTTTTAATGCAAAAGTAATTACGAGCGTTTCAAGACTTGGAAAGACTTTTTTTTTTTTATTGTGTGTTTGTTTGTTTAAAACGACAAAAAAAAAAAAAAGCAAAACGGAAATTGATTAAATGAAATATTAAATCGGCCATTAATTTTATTTGGGATGGGGGGAGGAGGGGGTGGAAAGGGAAGAAAGTTAAAGGAAATTAAAATATCGGCAATGTGTTTTTCCTTTTTTCTAGAATTATTAATCGGTTGTAAGAGAATCGCAAACAATCGTTTGTCCATTCACCACAATCGTTTTTCTTTCTTTTTTTTTGAAAAGGGAACATTCTGGTAAAAAGAATAGGGATGAAAAAAATATGGTAAAAAGGGGGGATGACGGCAACGTCGGTTGTGGTGGCGGTTGCGGATAAGAAAAACGTGCGTGCGTGTGCGTGCGTGCGTGTGTGTGTACAAAAGGAAAAAGGAAAAATTATTTATTGCACATTTTTTTTTAATCATGTGGGTTTTGAATGATTTTATTGTTTATTAATTGGAAACACAAAAATTATACTTAATTGTTTTTTTTTTTTTTTTTTAATAACGGATTCCAAAATGTCAAAAAAAAAAGAAAAGAAAATGAATGCTTGCGTGGGTTTTTGAATGAAATCAATAATATCCCGATTGTTCTCGCAACAACAACAACAACCGCACTACGTACTCAAATCGAACACAAACATTTAAAAAAAAAAAAAAAAAGGACCACCCAAATACACGATAATATCGTGGCAGGATTCTTTCACGAAAATTATCTTCTTTATTTAAAAAAAAAAAAAAAGGAAATGTGCGTATGCGTGCGTGTGTATGCGTGTTAGTGCGCGTTTAAAATTGAATTTAAACGAAGTGGAAAATGTATTTGCAAAAAAAAGGAAAAAAAAAAAATTCCAAAACGATGAAAAAACTTTTTTTTGTACGAAAGGCTTTTTTAAATTATTTAAATGCCTCCATTTTTTTTTTTTTTTATTTAAACTCCTTCCAGCGCTACGAAAATGAAAATAAAAGAAAAAAGTTTTTTTTTTTATTTTTATTTTAATAATTTAAAAAGTTTATTGTTGTGTCGTTTATGGTGCCGTCTATTAATGAAATGAAAGAAAGAAAGAAAGAAAAAGAACAATGGCGGAAGTGAAAAATAAATGGGTTATGAAAAAAATTTTAATGGATCGTTTTTTTTTTTTTTTTTTTTCTTATTCTTTTTCTCTTTTAAACATGAATCGTTTATTGATTTTCTTTCTCTCTCTCTCTCTCTCTCTCTTTTTTTTTTTTTTTTTGATGTTTTACGAAATAAAATTTAACCCGATAATAATAATAATAATAAGCATTAGCATTCGAAAAATTGCATTCGTGTCATTAGTCGAACTTTTAAATTACGAAACACGTAACAAAAAAAATGATAATATTTTTGTATTTTAATCGTTTTGAATCGTTTAAAAACAACAATAATAATAATAATAATAAGAAAGGACGAAAGAAAAAGGAAAATCGATTAAATGACGTCACACGTTTTTGTAATTCACAAAAGAAAATTTAAAGAAAAGAAATTTTTTTTTTAAATCTCTCGATCGATATTTTCCGTTATTATCAAACGTTTTAAAAAAAAATTAGTTTCGAGAAATTTTTTCGTCTGCTACCACGACACAAACCCCCACCCCGTAAATAAATAAGAAGACATTTTAAACGCGGCCATCTTTGTTTTTTGTTTTTTTTTTTCCTTGTTTTGATTTGTACAAAATTCGTTTCACGTTTAACCGTTATTTAAACGTTTTAACGTAACATTATTTTCCAAAAAAAAAAAAATATTTTGGTTGTTGTTGTTTGTTGTTTGTTATTACGATTATGGTGCGAGAAAGTTGGCCAGGCCACGTACAAAAAGTTTAAGGAAAGACGTTAATTAAAAAAAAAAAAAAAGAGAAATAAATAATAATTTTAAAAATTTATTATCGACTTTCGCGTATGCGCGAAAACACCAACCAATCGTTGTTTGTTTGTTTGTTTGTTATATTTAAAATTATGGCCGCTTCCATATTTGTTTTGAAACGATTTCGTGATGTGAAATACCAGGTCCATAAATAAACGCCAAAAAAAAATATTTTTCTAAAAAAATTAAAAACCTTCAATTTTTAGAAGCGAACATCATGTTTGTTTTATGCCTTTTAATTATCATTGAAAAATAATTACCACCGACTAATATTTCAGGTACTGACTGACTGACTGACTGACTGATTGATTGATTGACTGACTGACTGACTGACTGATTGATTGACTGACTGATTCTAGCAATTAGTCGAAATTTATAATTTTTCATTTCCTTTTACCTCTCATTTCTCTCCCATTCCTTCCTCCACGTTTCCTTTTTTTTTTCTTTTCTTTACAATTTGAACGAAGCAGAAGAAAAAGGAAAAAAATTTTCCACCTAATAATAATAATAATAATAATAATAATAATAATAATAAACGTTTGGTAATTAACAAGGAAAAAAAAAAAATTAATTCTTATTGTTGTTATTTATTCTTCGCACGTTTACGTACGTACGAGTCGCGCTATTTTGTTTTCTTTTTGTATTTATTTACTCTATGGAATTTTAATTATAATAATTATTTCATTTTTAAAAATGTGATTGTGTTGTAGGGAATGGGAGGGGGTTTGGGGGTCGGTTGTTTGTGTTGTTATTGTTTTCAACGTTCCTTTCCATCATGTTTTTTTCGTCATTTTTGAAAAAGAAGAAGAAGAAACGTCGGATTCATTCATGCAAAAAACACAACAATGGCGCGTTTTTATCTTCCTCTCTCTCTCTCTCTCCGGTTGTTGTTGTTGTTGTTATTCTTGTCTTATCGTTAAATTTTCATATATGTTATGTGTATATGAGAGAAAAAAAAAAAAACATTTTCTTTTAGTTAAAATTCATTCAATCGAAAATTCAAGTTTTTTTTTTTTTTTTGATTAATGAACATCCGTTTCACTACTCTTTTCTTCCTTTTTTTCTCTCTCTCTCTCTCTCTCTCTCTCTCTCCCCAAGATTCATTTATCATATATATATATAAAGTAATCGAAAACCATTTCCGTTATTACGAGTGTACTTATTTAAACGATTGTTTATGTTGTTTCCGTTTGTATAGAAAAAAAAGTGAAATGAAAATTTTTTTTTTTTTTTTTTTCGAAAAGGGATACCTACGTACTGGTTTGAAAAAACTTGAATCTCTTGTTTGATGGATTTCAAACTTAGATGTAATCTCTCTATCTCTCTCTCACACACGCACTTTTTTCATTTTGACTTCTTTTTAAAATATGTGGGTAGTTAGTTACGGTCGTGTCAGATTATTATTATTATTATTATATGACTTTAGCTTTACATTCGTTATAATTGACGTTGGCGAGAAAGTATTTTTATTACTTAAAGAAGAAAAAAAAATTCGTTTGTTATTTATTATCATTATTATTATTATTATTAAAAATAAATATTATTAATTTGGTTTAAATGAGTTGTCAGTTTTGACGTCATTCAAAGCACACGACATATTTTTTTTTTTTTTTAAATTAACATAAAAAATCAATTTATAAGAAGGGGAAAAAATGAAAACATTTTGAATGGTTGTTTGTAATTAATAAAACTTCCGCCATTTTTTTTTTTTAATAAACAATTCAGTTGTTAAAATTGTAAATGTGTGAAAAGGAAAGGGAATTTCGTATCGATTTTTAAAAATGTCGGAAAGAAAAATTCAATAATAATAATAATAAAGGGGGGAATAAATCGTGTTACGTAATTTCGCGACCATTTTTTTTTCACATTCTCAAAAAAAAAAAAGAACAGGAAAAAAAAAATTAAAATTGTTTATTATTACTACATTTAGGAAATGTTAAGCTCCGACCTATTTTTATTATTCTTCCTCCACGTTTTCATTACGTACAAAGAAAAACGATTCGAATCCGCCGCCATTTTGATTTTAATTAAATGGCATTTAAATTTTCGAAATAGTTTTTTTTTTTTTTTTTTCCTTTTCATTTTCTATTCGGGTAATTGTTATTAATAGTTTTATATGGCGTGTCTGTTAGAGAAACATTGAATCGAGATGAAATTGAATTGAAAAAAAAAAAAAAAAAAACCATCTATCTGCGTTGGCCTACATTGTTTTTCGCACCATTGTTTTATTTGCTCGTAAAAAACAAAGGCGTGCCATTGTTTAAGTAATTATAAAAGATGTAACGAGTGTTTGAAAAAAAAAAAAAAAAAAAAAAAGAAAAATGAATTATTTCTCAGAAATATTAATTAACACGTTCTTCGTTTTTATTACTTCGGTCAAAAGTGTGTGTGTGTGAGTGCGTGGTTGTGCGTGTGGTGCGAGTCCCTGACGTGCAGATTGTTCGAAAAGAATCCAATTTTTATTTTTTTTTTTTTATTTTGTTTGTTGCAGGTAAAAAAAAAAAAAAAACCAAAAAAAACATACACAAAAAAAAAAACACAAAAATGTCGCAGTGTTATCCTAGCTGTGAAATAACGGGTGGGCCCGCAGGTCCTGGACGACCTCAAAAAGACTATAGTCGACCTTTACACGTTGATTGCAGCGTAGAATACGAATTACCAAATGCTGCGAAACCTCCGGTCGGTACGAAAAGCGAACCGCTCCTTATGATACATCCTTGCTATTATAGAAGAGCTGAAAGTCAACGTCGTAGTCCTTTTATAAATAATCTACCTTCGAGGGGTTCGGGTATGGTGGGAGCGAGTCGGCGTTCGAGTCAGGTGTCGCGTTTGGCTCCACCGCAACCACCGTATCCGGTGAGGGTGGTGGAACAAGCCGCCGCCCGAGCGGAAGCCGTCATGGCACTCCTGTGGCCGGAAGGTCCGCCTCCACTATACACGAAACCCGTCCGACCCACCGGTAAACGGGATCCTCTCCTATGCGGCGGAGATTTCAGTTCGGGTTCGGATTCCGGCATAAGCGCCGGTCATTGGACGGATTCGGATCGTAGTCCCCTAGCTCCGGAGATACGCTTACAAAGAGATTTTCAAGTCGGACCGGATAGCGGAATCGCTACGCCGGTATCCCTGGCAGAGGATAAGACTGCGCTATCAAATCGGCAAACGATACAACAACAGCAACAATCCGTTTCCTATCAACAAACACAACAACAACAACACCAACCACAACCGCCGCCGCCCTGCACTCCTTGCTCTTGCGGCAAATCACAATGTATGGTACCGTCCTATGACACGTCAAAATCGTCTAACGTTATAACGAATAGTGAAAACCAGTACCTGCCTCATTACGAACAGACTTCATTCCAAGCGCCTGGATTGTCTCAATATAGTCAAACTCAATTGCAGCAATGGTTGCAAAGCGTTCAAGTTAGCCTATCGCCCCAAAGAAGACGAGTAGCTCCTGCTGCGCCTCCCCAAATGCATAGGTACGGAATCGTGTCGCCGATCGTTATCCATTAGTGATTGTTAATTATGTGATATACGTATGTATGTGGGTATGCGTGCGATCGCACGCGCACGCGCCCACAAATTCACGCATTCATATATATACATAATAATGATAATAATAAAAATGGGACGTTTTGTCGCGCTCACGTTATCATTATTATTATTATTATCATTATTACTACGATTTTTTTTTTCTCATTAGAGCTAATCTAAGCTGTAACTTACCAAATTAGCCTAGACTGATATGTAATTTTAGTCGCTAGCTGACTGATTCCAAAGTGTTTACTTCGAATATGGAAATTTATTATTATTATTATTATTATTATTATTATTATTATTATTAAATTTTTATTTTTATTTTACATAATTGCATAGGCCAAAGTGTGAAATTTCGATATGAAAAAACAAAAAAAAAATAACAATAATAATTTTTTTTATCCCGGAAAAGATTCACCCGTTATTATTATCATTATCATTATTATTATTATTCGTACGAAAGCAAATGAAGATTTTATATTTAAAAAAAACGATTAACGGCTCCATCATCATCATCATAATCAAATATGGCAGTCGGTGTTTTTACGTCATCATGAAAAAAACGGTCACAAATCCATGATGATGATGATGATGATTACGATGATGATAATTAAATTAATGTTTAATGAACTTCATTTGCGTCTCCCATCAATTATGTATTTTCCAAATATGATAATTGTTATTATTATTATCATTTATTATTATTATTATTTTGTGTGTTAATTATTTTCTAACCTCTTCGTTACCATTTATATATATATTAAAATATATATATATAAATATATATTTTTATCTCGATTATGATGTAGCTTTCGTGTAAAGTATATATATATAATAAATTCCATAACAAAAACTAAACTAAAAAAAAAAAACTAAAAAACTAAAGTGATAAGACAAAAAAAAAAACTAAAAAAAAACCTAAGTGATAACAAAAAAAAAAAAAATCTGATCGACTGAATTATATATATATATATATATAAATATATAATAAAAAAAATTATTATTATTATCGTAAATAAAAACGCTTTTATATAGATAATTAAAAAATCATTATTATTAATTATTTTATCCAGGTCTCATGATTCCTTTTTTTTTAAAAAAATTTCCAGTAAAAAAAAATGCTTGAAAAAAGGGTATTGATAAAAATACGGTGGGAAATGTGAATGATGGGGTGGAGGGGAGGGAAAAAACGTGGCAGTAGATGATACACGTGAAAGTAATAGATCACGTGCCGGGAAATTTTTTTTTTAAAACAATGAATGAGGATTATTGTTGTTGTTGTTGTTGTTTAAATAATAATTTGATTTTGACGAAATTGCAAACAAAGAGAGAGAGAGAGAGAGACGTGGCGGTAAATTCAAAAGGTAAAACCGCCATTTTGAAAAAAAAAATTTTTTTTCATCATCATCATCATCACCTTTTTCCATTTTTTTTTTTTTTTTTTTTTTTTTGGGTAAATTATAACCGCTCACGTGCTTGCTTACTCGCACATTAATTTTCAACGAGATTGTTTTTGGTTGTTTTTGATTGTTGTTGTTGTTGTCGTGTTTGTTGTTAGGTTATTTTCTTTAAAAAAATTTTTAAAAAGTCGTCAAAATCTCATTTTGAAAAAAAAAACTGTTTAATTTAGTAATTTTAAACTGGAATTTCGACGTCAAAAACGAACGAATAAATTATTCTTTCTATCTCTCTCTCACACACACACGCACATTCTATACTCTTTCTCTCTCTCTCTCTCTCTCTCTCTCTCTTTGTCGTACGTTTAAAAGACTATGTATCAAATCTCTCCATGTCGTAATGATGAGGATGATGATTATGATGATGGCGGCGGCGAAGTTTTCTTTTTTTTTTTTCTTTCTTCTTCTTCTTTTGATTGTTTTAACAAACAATCGTACACGTTTCTAAAAATTTCAATCAAATCATTATCATTATCACGCGATAAGTAAGTTCCACGTCAAAATTTTCCAGAATTTTTTCCAAATTTTTCCAGGATTTTTCCCAAATTTCTACCCGATTCTCTACTCTCCCAGATTTTGCCATTCTTAAAAATTTTATTTAAGGAAAAATATTATTATTATCATTATCGAAACATACGGTTAATTACACGTTTAAAAAAAAAAAAATTCACTAACGTGTCATTAGATAAATAATTTCAAACGGACATTTTAGCAATAGTCGAAACAATGATCGTTGAAACAAATTTTTTTTTTTTTTAAATCGTGACTTCAGAATTAATATTTATACGTTTTCACGACGCGTTTAAATAATAATAATAATGATAAAATTGATAATTGGTGACACGACGATTTCGATTTTATCACATGGTCCGAGTCGAGTGGATTGAAGGGGGTGGGGGGAGCGTTTACTCTCCCGAACATTCTCATACCTTAAATAATAAATAAATAAAATTAAATTAATAAAAATAATTCGATCGACTCTGTCGCCATATTTATTATTATTATTAATAATTTCGTGGCATTAGATTAATTTTTTTTAAAATGTATTTAAAACTCAAGTTTTAGACGTGGTTAAAGAAATATAATTATTATTAAAACGAAATATATTTTGAGTTTAAAAACGAATCGATATTCGATCGGTTTTCCGCCCCCCGACTTTTCTTTTTATTTTTCTCATAATGAAAAAAAAAGGGAGGGTACCTTAAATAATAATAATAATAATAATAAATTTGGTACGTCGATAATTCGTTTTTTTTTAACGGTTAATTAAATTTTTTTTTTTTTTTTTTTAATCCGGATATTACAACTAAACCAATTCTTCTAATTTAAATCGAACCACGTCGATTTTTTTTTTTTTTTTTTTTCGTACGTACCGGAAATTAACTTTCGGTTTGTGGTTTTTTTTTTTTCGAAATCCGGTTTTTTTATTTTATTTTAAATGATAATAATAATAATAATAATAATAATAATAATAATAACTGGTCACACCGGTTCCCGTACGATCACCGAAGTTAAGCAGCATCGGGCGTGGTGCAAACTTGGATGGGTGACCGTTTGAGAACACCACGTGCTGTTGGCTTAAAAAGAGCAAAAAAATGAGAACAAGACAAAGTAAGAACCAAAAACAAAATCTTGTTCTACTGTCGACCTGAGGCAGCTCGACGAGAACGTGAATTTCACTGCTTCTGACCCTGGCCACTCCAAAGATGTTAGTCACCGGAGCCCAGTTCAGGAGACAAATCGTTCCCATCGAAAAAGACGGACTCAGGAAGACCTTCAAGAATTGATGTGGTGCTATCTTATAATAAGTGGCACCACCGAAATTCGAGTATTTGTCCCTAAGGAATCGGGTAGAAACCTCGGATAAATACTTAAAAACTCCGACAAGTAGCCTTGTCGTGTTTAATGGTGGATAATAATAATAATAATAATAATAATAATAATAATAATAATAATAATAATAATAATAAATATCATATTGTTAAGTTGGATTTAATAAAAACCGTTTTTCCTAATTGCGCTCCTGTTTTTACTTTTCTTCCTCCTCCTCGAGTCTCTTCTTTTTTTACTACTACTTCCGGTTTCGTCAAAAAAAAAAATTAAAAAAACGTTTTATTATAATAAATAATTTAAGTATGACGTCACACACGCGAGCCCGAAATTTTATTATTATTATTATTGCGTTTTTTTCGATTTTGGAATCGAGTTTTCCACGATAACAAAAAAAAATTTTTTTTTAAACCGAGCGTTTGTTTTTCGCGTTTGTTTTGATAACGCGTTTGTTATCACTTTTTTTTTTGTTTGTTTTTGTGCGACAATTTTAATATTAAGGTATAAAAAATAAATAAAAATTTCAAATTAATTTTTTATTACACGTCATCGATTGTCATAATAATAATAATAAAAGTGAAAGTAGGTGTTGACATTTTGTTTTTATTAAAAGAAAGAAAAAAATCGATGTTATTTTTCTAATGCCACTTCTTGTTTTCGAAACACACACACAACACAAACATAATCCATTATTATTATTATTATTATTATTATCAATAATTTTTAATTATCCGTCGGCCATTTTTTTTTTTTTTTTATAAAATGAAAATTATTGACGTTTAATTTAATTTATACAAAATCTAAAGGCAAGTTAAAATTTTTTTCTTTTTTCGTTTAAACACTTCATCATCATCATCATCATCATTACCATCATCATCATCATCATCATCATTATCATGATTATTATTATTATTATTATCATTTCCGTCGTTCGTTATCGATCGATTTAGGATCGTCTAAAAAATTTATTTTCCGACGTTTCGAATTTTTTTTATCCCCTTTTCTCCCTCCCAAAAAAAAAAACCGTTACGCATCATCATCATTATTATCATGAGAGTTTTCCAGAATTCATTCCAGTTCTCTGTCTCTCTATCTCTACCCGATTTTTTTTTTGTAAATCTTCAAATGTTGGAATATTTATTATCAGCGTCCGTTTTTTTCTTTTTTTTGCCATAGGAGAAGAAGAAGAAGGAATTTTATCAAAAAAAAAGGGAGGGTAGGGGGGAGTGGTAAGGGTCAATGACCTTTTTTATAAAAAGAAAATGAAACGCGAAACGAAAAAGAATGAGAGAGAGATAGAGAGAGAGAAAGGGTTTGTCATTTTTGTATTCAAAAATTGATTTCGATTATATCGAAAGATTTTTTTTTATTTTTTTATTTTTATTAATAGGAAATTCTATTCCCACGACGACTAAGGTTTTTTTTTTAAAATGATATCCTTGAATTTTAAAAAGTTTTTTTTTTTTCGAAATTCAATCGGTTGTTGCACTCTTTCTCTCTCTTTCTCTCTCTCAATATTTTACGTGCGTTAAATTGCAAACCTTTGCAGAATAATTTATTATTACCCTTTTCTCTCTCTCTCTCTCTCTCTCTCTCTCTCCTCTCTCTCCTTTTTTTTTTTTATTATTATTAACGTAATAATAAAAAAGTTATGTTTTTATAATGTCGTCGTGGAATTAGAAAACTGAA